AGCCTCCATCCATCCCTCCCTCCTTCACTCTCTCGGCCTAATTAGTCCTCTATCTTCCCTATAGCTCTTTTCTTCTGGTGTTTTTTTCCTCCCACTTTCCCAAAAATCTTTGCACAAAGGAGTGTGGACCGAGCTTCCTGCCCGGTTTAAGAAGCGAACCCCTTTTTTAACCTAATTCAGAAAGATGCACAGGAACACAAACACCCAAAAAATCAACCTTAAATAAAATAGGTCATTTCTTTCTAGAGACCTCAGTGCCTTTAAATCTACTCTGAGATCATCAGGATTATAATAATTGTCCCCCTTTTTTCAATTTGTTGGGTCTGTTCTCAGTATTGCGGGGGGGGGGGGGGTTCCCTTCTTTCATGTGTTGCTGCGTTCACGGTCAAGTTCAAAGCGGCAGAGCGGCCTCGGGCGGAGCAGCAGCTCCATCTGACCCAGTACACCTGCTATCTTTAGCCCCAAGAGCCGGGCTGCACCGCCACCTGCTGACCGACGTGTATTCCTTCAGCAGAAGGCGCTCAACCATTCATAGGGAAGCAGCGCCCTCGAGTGGTGATTAAATGTCATTACACGATAAACAGGCGTGAGAAGATCCATAAATATTTGGACAGACTAACATTAGTTTGAGTTATTGGATTTGTCACTAATTAGCTAACTCAGTGTTAAACAAGGACAATAAAACTAAATAGCATCCTAGGGAGATCACTTTTGAAAAACAAGGATATACGTTCCACTATCACTCTATTTTTTATGAATAAAGACTGTGTGGAGGCCAGGCTGTTTGAATCCGCTGCATCAGTGTTACCAAACGGCTAAGCTGGAGTCAGACAATAGTTTTTCTTTATGCACAGGCTGTGGTCAGCTGAGCTGCTGCTCTGAGATTTACTGTTCTTTGTGACTTTACACCACTGAATTCAACAAAATGTAAGGAGACGTTTCACGAGCCATCTTTCCCCAACACTGTTTATACTATCTTTGTTGGTAAAAAGGCTGAATTCAGTAAATGAATCTGAGTATCATCAACTTCAATTCAAGTTCTTAATATGTCCTCACTCTGACCATGAACACTACAGAAAACAGTCCAACACAGTGCTATACTGTTAATTCACCACACCACAGCAAGCTAGCCTGTTTATCCTGCTCCAAACTGCCAGTATTTTAATAATACATAGTTAATACAGCCCAGTTTGTTTTACAGGACGTTTCACAATAAGAAAAAAAATATATCAAATCATGTGGAGTTCCAATATCTGATTTAAGAATGATAACATTACATGTTTTACATTTCCAGTTTATCAAATGAAACTGAGCAGTCTTACCTTTAAATATAATCTTTCTTCTTCCTCTCCAGTACTGTCTTTCTTACTTCGTTCACTCTGTGAAACAAAGGAGTCATCTCTTTAGCTAGCGTGGTAAACTGCACAGAAACTGTTTTTGTTATCTGATATTTGATGAGCTGTTAGAAATGTTGCATTTGAAATTACCGGAAACTTGAAAATGTTACCCCACTTAAGCTAGCTCTTCTTCTGTACCAACAGCTAGCTAGATGCTGAAGTGCAACAACCACAGCTTGGACAAAAACAGCCCTCCAGATCGTTTGAGGCACCTTTTCTTGACAAAGAAACACGCAGATGTTAGTGCTGAATTTGTATATGTTTTTACTGTAACTATAAGTAAGTCTAACCCTAATGAGATGGCAGTGCAAGTGAAGGTCATCATTAGGCTAAAAACTTAAGTCTATCCGAGAGACAGTAAAAAATGTAGGATCAACCAAATCATTAACCTGGTTTGTGCTGAAAAAAGAAGAAATGCACTCATCAGCTCATCAACACCAAAGTGCCCCAAAGACCAGGGAAGACAACTAAAGTGCATGAAGACAGAATTATTGAATGTTAAGGAAAAACAACAACATCCAATCATGAGACACCTTCGTGAATCATGAATGTAAATACAACAGGTAAAAACCACTGGTTACACTCAAGAATATGAAGGTCAGATTATACTTATAGTTTATCATTATACAAATGATTCAAGTGATTCATTGGTTTCGTAAGAAATTTAAATATGCAAGTAGCTTAACAGGTTAGGAGACCAGAATCTATGAATATGTAAATAGTTTAGATTTGAGTCCGTTTTCATCAGGTTTGCACATCACACGTGTTTGAGACCAAAATTAGCTTTTCATAAGCAGGTATAGCTCTTCAATTCACTGTTTAGGTTTTTATAACTCTGCACTGACATCATGCTGACCAGCAAATGTTAAATATCCCCCTAAAAAAAACCCAAAAAAACCAAAAAAACTCAGTTTGAGGGGGAAAATTCTTTAATATCAATCCAAACAACACTCCAAGCACAAAAATACATCAGTCTGGGACATTAAACCAAAACTAATGATCACAAATCAATGTGTTATCAACATTGTAGACTCTGATGTTACAGACGCATCATCATCGTCACTACAGGCCAGACACAGGTTGTGGTTATCAGTAGCTATGTTGACATTCAGTTGGCACAAATCACTAGAGATTTAACAACCAGCTGTTGAGTCACATCTGCACCCAAACTGGAAAAACAACAACAACAAAAAACACCACAAGATAATCGGCTGTGACACACAAAGTAGAGTTATAAGTCTACATGTACGGGTTAAAACAATTAACATTTGATTTTACAAGAGGAAACAAAAAACACTCGCACCAGAGTAAGTCGTTGTAGTGTGTCAGTATTTGTTCTTGTTACACGCCTGTTGTGTTCCCATCTAAAGATCATTTTGTGTTAGACAAAAAACAAAAAAAAACAACTTTTTGGCATTCAATGATTGTCTGGAAATGGAAATCAAACAGGCTCTTCGTGTTATACTCATCTGCTGGTAGATCAGAGAAAAGATCATAACAATGCAACAATCACGGTTATTCCAATTTAAATCAGAGTATGGCGTGTTGGAGAAGGGGCAAAACCAAACCAGTAACTTTGCTTTTTTTAAATTCTGCCTTCATGGCTTTAAATAAGTCCTAAATGTGTTGGAATGAACTGGGAACTGAGAATCACCTTTCATGGTGATTTACTCTCCAAGGCAGTTTAAGCTTTACAAAATTCACATACAAAACTGAACCTGAAGAAATACATTCAGCCACTGAGGACTAACAATTTCTAAACTTCAGAGCATCTGCTTCTTCTTACTGAGAACATCCAGACTGAAGCAAGGCTAGAAAATGGAAGAAACCTCCAGAAAGGTTAGTAGAAGCAGCTCAGTCGTAGTAAAAAATATTACTATCCTTTGCTAGGCACTTAGAGTGAGGAAATACCCTTCGTTCAGGTTTCACTTAATGCAGTGGTTCTTAACCTTGTTGGAGGTACCGAACCCCACCAGTTTCATATGCGCATTCACTGAACCCCTCTTTAGTGAAAAAATTTTTTTTTTCAAATTCAAGACATAGATATGTTTTTATTGGTGCACAAAATGAGCCGTGCATGTCATGGTGGAGGCTCTGCCGAACCCCTGAGACCGACTCACCGAACCCCTAGGGTTCGATCGAACCCAGGTTAAGAACCACTGACTTAATGTATTCTTTTAACCAAGCACACTTTCATATGTGCTAATTACAGACCAAATTCTCATTGATCTAAGCTTTTCTTCTGCTACCTAAGGCAAGGAGTAAAGACAACTGATATTAAAACACTTTACATGCATCTGCCCACAGCTGATGGAGCAGATATATGGACTGGAGATGCTGTATGTCACAAATCTTCCTCATTTACAGAGGTCAACTAAAGTCAAAATATTGTGTTATGTTCAGGAGATCACCTGAACGCTACATTAATTCCAACAAACAATTTCCACGAGCAGACAAAGAAAATGAGAAAATGATTTCCAGAGAAGGCAGGATACAGGAGTGTAGGGATTGTAAAACTCCCTGTAAAACCTCCCCTCCCAGATATTTTTAAGAGCGATGCCGATATTTGTTGATTTAAAAATTTGATATATAGGCTGATATTTTCTTTTTCTTTCAGACATAAAAAACATAAACAGATTTTATTAACATTTGTTATGCTTAGCTATTTGTCAGTGTGTTACATTGTTCAGCAACACAGTAATGTAACGAGTTACTGTACTAAATTCAGTAATCACATCACGACGTGCATTACAAATCTGCACAAAATGGGAAAATAGAAAAAAAAGAAGAAGTGGATCTTACTTTACTTAGACTTCACCTCTGACGTGTTTATTTATTTAAAAAGAAGTTTGTGGTTTCAATCCCAGCTGTGCTCATTACTTTTACTTTTATTTTGGAAAAACATGTTTAAAACTATCCAAAAAGAATAATACCTATATCACACTGAGTACGCTGATGTCTTGTAGGCACTAACAATGGAACAATTATCATTATGCTTTAGCAGTGAATCTGTCCCTGGATAAACCAACAAGTAGATTTAAAAAAAAATTAAGTGATTGCATTTTAATAAACTGAAACATTTTCCAAATCTCAAAAGCTATTTTCTAAACTATTAGTATTTCTCATGTTGTTAATTATTATTTGGTGAGGTTATCTGCTGGTCTAAGATCAGAATATTACTTTGGGCACTGTCATCAGTCAGATTAGGTTTTCTCGTTTTGGTGATTAATCTTCCCATTTTTTAATCATCAATTAAACATCCATCCATCCATTCGCTTCCGCTTATCCTTTTCAGGGTCGCGGGGGGCGCTGGAGCCTATCCCAGCTGTCATAGGGCGCAAGGCGGGGTACACCCTGGACAGGTCGCCAGTCTGTCGCAGGGCCAACACACAGGGACAGACAACCATTCGCACTCACATTCACTCGCACATTCACACCTAGTGGTAATTTGGATTATCCAATTAACCTATCCCCACAAGCTGCATGTCTTTGGACGGTGGGAGGAAGCTGGAACCCGGAGGGAACCCACGCAAACACGGGGAGAACATGCAAACTCCACACAGAAAGACCCCAGGCCTGATGGTGGAATTGAACTCAGGACCTTCTTGCTGTGCGGCAACAGTGCTAACCACCGTGCTGCCCATCAATTAAACAATTGTACATATTTAAAAATATAAATCTTTCAAATTCACTGCTGAGTTTCAGTCACAAGCCTTGCTTCTTATTCCTGTTACAGATGACACCTCATGCCCTCTGCTCCGCTTGGCTCTACTCATCTGCTCACCCAGCTCAGCCGTTCTGCCTTGGTATGTAAGGTCCAAGTATAGAAACTATTGACACTGCTCAGTTTCTATGAGCCTGCATCAGTACTGTCAAAATGTTCATCTGCATCATTCAAACAAGCTCCAAGTCCCATCTGCTGCCACAACTCTACATTAACACTTCTAATTGATATGTGACGATTAGAAAAACACGTGATTGTGTGCTGAGGTAAAGTACAATACTGAGAACTAAATTATCTTTGTAACAGAACTCAAATGATCTCTTCACTATGTGTTTGCATATTTCCAGTCAAGTTAGCAAATACTGCTAAAAGCTCTACACTGAGTCCTCCTCCCTAACCAGGAGATTTAAAGTCATTCCAGTGACATGTCACAGTCTAGTGTCAAGTCATGTTTTCAAAAACAAAACAGCCGGGAATGGCAGCGAAGAGACAGACTGCACAGCTGTCACGCTGGCAGCAAATGGAAGACACATTTGTGTAATGTGTGTACTTTGTGTGTGTCCAACATCAGCGACACATATGAGGGTGAAGATATAAAAATGCCTCTTGATATACTGTACTTTTTAAAAACACCACCACAGATAAATGACATATGTAAAAGCAACACCTCTCAGACTGTGTCAGCAACAATGAGACACTGTAAACGTCACAAAGAGGGCTGTGTACATGTTTAGCTGTTCTTTCTAAATATCAGTGTGTAACATCTCACATTTGGGGGATGACCTAACTACTTGATGTGCGTTACTTAGGGCTGAGAACCAATAAGCATATTTCCACTAAAACTGAGACGCTGGAGTCCCAGGAACTTTTTCCCAAAGAACTACAAGGTTCCTTCATATTGTTACTTGTCTGTGTTTCTACAATACTCTCTTTTCCATTGATGTTTCAGAGCTTATTAGAAAGAAAAAAACAAACATCCAAAACAGCCTCCCAAATGTTCCTAGTTCTTAGGGGAAGTGGTTCCAGCAGTGAAAAGGCCCCAATAGTTTAGCTGGAGTAACTGTAGTATCTGTATTTATACTTCAGATATGAATCTAAAGCCTATGACATGATTAAAGTGAAAAACAATCGATATGTGATGAAAACTTTCTAAAAAACACTATGGGCACTGGTAATTCTTTTTTGTTGGCACCACCATAAAACACAACTAAACAACTAATAAAACTGTGAATTCAATCTTCAGGAGTGCCACTGAAAAAAACACTAGACTGTGAGCTTTTAATATTTCAGCTCAAACTAAATCAAACCATTTGATAGCAGTTACAAAGCTGCTATCACACTTAAACATACTACAACACCATTTATGGCATATAATTTGCATTAACTAACGTCATAACCTTTGGTACATTTTCTTAAAATAAATTTCCTCAAAACAAATCTCAACAAGGGCATATCTTACTCTTATTAAATGAATGCATTTTTTAAAACTCATGGGAAATGAGTGGAAACCAGCATTGCACTGGAAAGTAAAAGATTTAAAATGATACACATGGCAGCTGTGTGTGTGTACCTTTTAACTCTCTGGATTACAAATGTACTGAGAGGGTAGGAACATTACAATTCATGTGTACACACAAACGTATTGATGATATTGCACTTAGATGTACATGATAACAAGGCGTACTATCCAACTTACCTCTGTTACACACAGACAAAGCGAGAGAATAAATTTTTATTACCCACGCATCCTGAGCCACTGTGCTATTTGCTTTTAACCAGCAATACCCATTTTTCACTCTTGCTTCCTCTTCTGTCTCACCAGAGTGGGCTTACAGGGATCTACTCAACCCTCTACCCCCATTTTCAACTCTCTTTGTCATTATTATGGAGTAGTATAACCCATTTGATGAAGCTTCTTCAAGAGAATCTGAGTGAGGTCAAAGGTGGTGAAGCTAATCCCCACTGCAATAGGTCCTTTAACCCAGTTCATACTGAGACCTTTGTAGAGTCCGCGGATAACCCCTTCCTCGGACACAATCTCCCTCATGGTCCCCAGGATGGTGCGGTACGTGTGACCTGTGACACCCGCAGTCTGCATCCGCCGCCGTACTACATCCAGAGGGTAAGACGCAGACTGGCCGATGAGACCTGCACAGGCTCCAAAAGCCAGGCGTTCGTATGAGTAGGGCTGCTGGCGGCCGCTGTGCTCTGCGTGGAAGAGAAACGTGTGAGGTTTAAGTACTGTACATGAACAGCAGCTGTGCACAGAAGGAAAGGAACAGGGCTAGATCAATACAGATAAACATGTGGCTGTTGAATACCTGCATGCAACTTCTTCAGTGTCTCATAGGTAAAGAAGCTGAGGCCAGCATAGGGGGCAACACCCAGTATGGTGGGAGTAAAGCCTCGATACAGTGTTTTCATGCCCTCTTCTCGAGAGATCCGCACAAACACATGCAGAATGTTACTGTACCTAAAACAGAAAAATATTAAAAATATAAATGTGTTTTAGTAAAAGATGGATGAGAAATTCAGAAGAAAAGAAAAAAAATTGTACTTTACATCTTAGATCATAGAAGTTGACTCAGTCTGCACAAGTGTGCAGTTAAAGTCCATTAGAGGCTAAATAGGATCACACAATACCCCAGCTGACTATACAGTGAAGATGTGAAAATGTGCTGTAGTAATATCTTCTGCATTATGGTTGCACAACCAACTATGTTTATTCTCAAAACAAATGAACAACATTTCAGGTTTTTAGTAATGAATTTGTCTAAAGTGACATAGTGACACATAAAAATCTATAAATGACTCAAGAAATTGATTTAAAACACAATTACACAGCTCTGAAGACAAAAGGAGGTCTAGCCCAGTACAAGCAAGGTGTACCTAATGTAGTGGCAAAGTGAGTGTATGTATAACTACCCTAAACATTAACCATGTTTCATGACCCTTGGATTGTTTTGCTGATGCTATTAACAAACTCCCCAACTATGCCCAGAAGACAATTTATAATAACTTCAAAGTTGGCTTACATTTCCTTTGGCGTTACAGCCATCCTCGCACGCACCATATCAAGAGGATATGTCATCATGGCGGCAGTGGTACCAGCCATGGACCCAGCCAGCAACCTTGGGACTGGAGGTAGGGCACTGCAACCAAAAAAAGGAAAAAACCCGTCAGCACTTCAGCCCTTTTATGTCTTTACATAAGAAAACATTTCATAAACAAGCAAAACACAAATACGTACTTTCCCTGAAAGCCATAGTAGCCTCCCAGCAGGCCCTTGTACTGCTCGTGTGCGCAAAACTGGATGGCAGCGTACGGGATGACTCGCACCATGGTGGCAGAGTTTCCCCTCCACAAACTGAAGAAGCCCTCCATCAGGTAGGTGCGGTAGATCAACCTGTAAGCTTCCTTTAATTCAGTGTGCACAAAGATATACTTGCTCACATTAACACGAAATTAACATGATGCACAAATATGTGTACCCAGTTTTATTTCTGCTAAATAAAAACTAAAAAAACAAAACAAACAACAAAAAAAACGCTTATAAATAGGAAGCATGCTCAAACATACCTTGGCAGAGAATCTTGCAGAAGACACTGAAAAACAAAATACATAAACAATATAAAAACCATACCACCCTTATTTGTACAGCACTTTAAAATAAACCAGGGTTCACAAAGTGCTGTACACATACAAATGGCATAAACAGAAAATAAAATCAAAGATGTTAAAAATAGAGATTCTTTAAAAAATCTGCAGTGTTTCTCACAAGTCCAGTCACTTTTTAAGTAATATCAATAATATGATTTTTTAGGTATTTCCACACTAGTCCCAACAAGATGTAATCACATATGTCCTTTATTCAGGTCACTGTTGTAAATTAGCAGAGCAGCCAGCTTGCCTTGGAAGATGATTTTAGTTCTGTCCAATGGGGCGACAGCTGTCTTGGCTACAGCTCCTGCTAAAGCCCCCGAAAAGAGCGAGTTGATAACAGACCGAGTCTGTTTCATCCCCTGCAAAGACAAATAATCACATTTTAGGTTCAAACAGAGACACTGTACATTTGCAAATTGTTGTGTTTGCTATAGTGTTGATCAGTAAGCAGGGGTTACATCAGGATAACAGTTGACAAATAACTAACCAGCTAACAAAACCTCCCAAATAGAAGCAGATGTGGTTAAATGAAACAGAGGGGTCATGAAGCTCCAAAGACCTGCTCAGTTCATGAATTTCATTTTCAGCTAACAGAATGAGGGGTCTCTAGTGCACAGTACAATACTAAAATAGTGTTACAATGCCACTATATTCTGCAAATAACATATGACTTGATAGGATGCAATCACAGAAGTGATGGGACAACTTTGGGGGAATGAATAATCATGTGAGAAAACCCATTTAAACATAACTGTATGATAACATAAGGCATATTTATATATCCATTACACACATACACAATTTTAGAAATGCATGCATGCAAATAAATATATCTAGCTAAACTGTCTAACTATTCAATTTAATAGTTCAGTTAGTAAGATAAAGTCCCTACAATAACGCAGATAAAACCCCAACAATTAAACGACCCCCTAACTGCAAAAACCTGGTAACAGTGTGAAGGAAAAACTTCATTTTAACAGGAAGAAACCTCCGGCAGAACTGGACTCAGGAAGGGGCAGCTATCTGCCAGAATCCGTTAAGGGTGACAAAAATGGCTGACTCCAGAAATAATTGTACAACCCCCTGGAATGTCAACATTAACACAATAATGACTTTTTTTTCCTCTAAACACAATTAGTCACAATTAAATAAAATTTATTAACAAACCTGAGCTGTATGATTACCCTGATCCTGTATAAATGTGCTCACCTCTGACTGACTGGAGGAAGCCAGTGGGAGCACTTCACCCTGTGTGAGTGATGCCCGTTGTTCCTGGACTCCACTCCCCATCCCCGAGGATTATGAACCAAGCACGCTCATGAATTGAACCGCTGGTGGCAGCGGTGATGCTGGTGGGGAGTACAGGAGGCTAGAAGCTACAGGGAAGAAGGAAAAAAAGAGGAAAAACAAACACAGTTAAGTTTCATGTCAGTCTAAGTATTTTTAAACAGATTTTCCTGTTACAGCAAGGAAGTTGTTTGAAAACCCTTTTTCCTGGTATGCCTCACCTCAGAAAAAAATGTTCATACTCCACATTACACAACTTTTAATGAATCAGAACAAAAAGAATATGACGTCAGCACTGTCATCCACTCTTTGTTTATTTTCTCTAAAATATTCTTATGTCCTTTTACCTGATTGTCCACCCGCCACAGTTTGATAACCAGTGCTCTAATTAGACTGCATGATTATTTATGGCCTCAATGAATCATAACAAGTACCACAGAATCAAAGTCTGGTCTCAAATCTATTCTACTTAACCGCCCTCTTTCTTATATGCTTACAACATGAGTTGAGAAACAAGATGTTTATCTGTACACAATAAACTAGAAATACAATACACACCGATGTGAATAACTACCTCAAGAATAGCCCACTTACTCTGAACCACCTGCCCTCATGAAAACTGCAGCTAAGTGGAGGCACAATAGATCACTCCTGAAGGACAGAGGACTTGTAGGTGAAAGGTGTCTGAGTGACACAAGCACTCCTGAATCCTCTCCCTTGCTGGAAACAAGTTTGCAGTGTAACCACAACTTTGAACATTCAGGACAATCCTCCAGATCTCATCGATAAAGACAAGTTGACCTTTAGAAGACAAACATTATTTAGAGTGAACTCACTGATTTTAACAATAGAGGTATTTGCATGGCTTTAAAGAACTAATCACTTCACCACATAGATCACATATTCATGTAATGTTCAACCCATCCACTCTGCTTTATCAAGTCCAAAGCTATCAAATATCTAAACCTGAGCTGAAGGAACACCAACAACAAGATGCAAATTAGTAATTCACATCCAGTCTACACAAGATCTACAAGTTTCACACATTCAGAAGAAAGAATGAAAATGATCAGCAACTCTTTTTCTTTGGGTTTTCATGTGAAGAATTTTACTTATTTGTGTTTTTTGTTTGTTTTTTGTCATCATGGGACACACGGATACTTCATCAGTATAAGATCAAATCTGCTTATGACTATGACTAATGTTTATCTGTTGTGTAACATTCATTTTCTGCTGTATAATTCTTCAAGCATGATGAACAGCTGACTTGCCCTAAAAGTTTTTCTTGTTTACAGTTTTGCCAACAAACTAATACTGGCACTGGTATGATTAAGTGATGATCTGCCCTTTCAGATTTATATTATTACAGAGAATATGGGTCACTTAGTTTTTGATATACATACAGGCTCAGTACAGGATTTGTGGATGCTGAATATTTGTTAAAACATTAACAAAACAGCCCTTAGAAACACCAGAGTTCAAGAAGAAGCAGTGAGAGGCTGGCGAGAGACAACAGTGAAACTGTAAACGGAGGGTTGGCTCAAAAGTTGGGTCAGAGGCAGCAAATACTGGCAGCAGTGCAACAGGCCTTGTACCCACCTTTTCACAGCAGCCACCATCCCAAATCTCAGGCCATCTCACACCCCTCCCTAAAGCTTCTTTCCCCATGCATATCATCTTACAGTTCCTTATTCCTCACTTGTTTCTGTCCTGCTATGTCTAATTTGTGTGCTTTAGGCTTCATTACTCTGTAATACAGGACAGCATTCCCATGCTATACACATGCAGCAGTGGAGATTTTATAGAAAGTGTATTATCAAGAATAAGGGAGTCAAAAAAGGCAACTTAAAACTTATGGGTAAAGCGTGGGTTTAATTTTGTGCTGTATTTATCAAGAATAAGTCCATGAAAATTATTGGAAGTCTAAGTGGAAAAAGTTGAGAGCAAAATATGACCACATGCTAGCTGTGGGAAACAGAAAATACATAAGCATAAATACTCAAAAGGCATCACAATTATCTGCGGATTATCTGAATAATCAGCAAATGTAAGAGTGTAGTGTTGCTGGAGAGAAGTGGATCATCAACATCATGAGCTGCTCATGTTGCCTGCCTCCTTAATACATCAGTTTTGTAACAGCGCCGTGTCCCATATGTTGCCATTTGCTTCGGCATTTATTAAACTGTAAACCAAAGCATGGTTACAAGTCAACATTACTGCAGTAGAAGTGGACACTTATTCATTAAACGATCACCATGCCTCGCCTTTCTGTTTCTGCCCGCTGCTCCAAACCTGTCGACACATGCCCGCAAACAAAACACAGCCACCCTCTGAAGCAGCGACCTGTCACTGCTTACACAAACACATTGCTTACCTTATAAAGCCGACACCGGCATCAAGAGCTGTCACGTTTTGATATCCCCTCTACTGGCGCGTTATTTCCAGCCGTTAGCAGTTTCTTCAGGAGTTATTTCTAAGTTAGCCAAATACCAGGTTAAGTAAGGTAAGCTAGCCGTTAGCCCGCCGTTTAATTCGCGTCTATTTTCTCGGTAACAGCGTACTGCAAATGTTAACCATGAGCTAATGTCTTGACTGGAAATGTGTCCTAATGTTGAAGGTGCCTTTTAAAATACGTTTCTCACATGCTCTAGAGCTGCAGTGACTCTAAGTGACAGGCTTCCTCCATTGTGGGCTCTGCCGTTACTACTCCTGTCAGCCAGGCGAGGCGGTTCGCAATGACCACAGTGAGGTTTGACAAGGACGAGCGCAGGTGCATTGTGGGAAATGAAGTCTCAGTGAGGTGCGGCACGCTTGGATAGGTCAGTTAGAGGGGCGTGAGTAGGAGAGCCACTTAGCAGGCAGTGGGCCTCCTGCAGTTTCTTGCTAGAGATACAGGGTCTGTTACTATCACACACAGCTAGATAACAGAAGATGGTATCATACTGTGTTAAACTTTAATGACAAATTTACAAACTAAAAGTAAAGCATGTGTAAGGCATTCAAAACATGTACAATTTGGCCCTGCCAACACAGGAAATAAGTCACCACTTACAGAGCAGTTGCATAGCAGCAAATGCACTCATACAACATTTTACAAAAACACTTAAAAAAAAAGTTTTACATAAATAATAAAAACGCACACAACAGCACTACAAAGGCCTTTTTGTACTTATTTATACTGGAAAACACTTTCAAATCTTGCAAAAGCATCGTGACTGGTCGTGTGTTGATTCACACTGGCTGAAATGCTTTTCAGCAAATGTACTGTGCAAATATGCCTCACTAAGAGAGTATTTGCTTCTACTATGTTTATATGTTAGATATAAACATGACAGGATTACATTTTAGCCAAAATTGCACTCAGGGAGACATATTTAAGTGTTTGTGGCAAGTAGAACAGGGCCAATGTTGTTGGTTCAAATGTGAAATGTGGGCAGATTTTAGCTGGGCTACCACTAAAACAGGGATAGATTGTGGGTAAGATTAAACCCATTTACATCTGCTGTGTTTACAGACCTCAAAGAAAACCCTAGGGCCACAGGTTGTTGTAACTTTTTGTTGAAATACAGCAAATTAAATTGCTGGTTAAAAAAAATCATCTTGAAGCCTCGAGTCTCACTATCTTTGTATTTTCAAACCTGACAAGACAAGAGAGGGGTGGACTCACCGAGATAACAAGGGTCAGGGCACTTTCTCATTTACAAGCCTGCCACACCCTAAAGCACACCCTTCTTTGTCCCTCTTCATGCATTTAATGACCACATGTTTTCAACCAGATGTGAAACTAAAGCTGAAAGCTTTTCTTCATATGCTTTCAAATGTTTTTTGTCTTACTTCAGCTAGCTAGGCTACTGGCTATCAGTACTACTAACAAAGTATCAAACATGGTATCTTAAACCTGGATTAATTTTAATGGACACCATAAGGCATCATCTGTGCCTACAAAAATACTATCCCATAGTCCTATAGAAGTCGAAAAGGGAAAAAGAACAACAATCTTGACTTTTGTAAACCATAAACTGATGATTTTATGGGCTCTGTCACATATTTTAGGACATACTGAATAAAAACTCAGTCTATTTTGTAAATTTTGGTCATCTTAAGTGTCAGAAACGAAGATTATTCAAGATAATCTCATTAGCTAAACAACTGTGATTGATTGCCAGTAAGCACGTGCTGTCACAGTTCCCTCCCTCACTCATCACGTCTGATTTCAAAACATCAAGATGGTATGGCAAAAACTCTCAGCTTGAGGCATCAAAACAGGGCTTCACAAATCACTGAGTGACATCACGGTAGCGACAGCCATCTTTTATACTGTCTATGGCTATTGATTGTTGTACTTTAGTGGTTAAGTGGCTAACTAACAAGCTATTTTATTTTTTCATACGAATATGGAAGGAAGACTGACATCACCAGCGTCTCTCCTTCATCATGTGGCTGCATGCAATGGCAGTTGATGGTTAAGCCTCACCTAAACCTCTGCCGGGAAATGAAATCACAGTGGGCGGGACTGAATGTCTGCTATTAAACCCCCACCCCATCCCTGCAAGGTGTGTTGAACATTCCTTGCGAACCTTCTGCAGTGGTGCTGTGCTCCACTTTCAGTTGGTAAGGCTGCCATGTTTGCCGGTCCACAGCTCCCGAAGCTCCACCTGACATCCCAGATCTCTCAGGGCCGCTTTGCCTACATCACCGCAGTCTTGATGGTTCTGCAGCGCCTGGGCTATCAGCGCTTCTGCTCCCATCTCCAAGATTGGCTGGCTGAAGTTACGCATTCGTGCGACCAGATTTCTGAGCACCATACACCCTTGTTTCTGTAAAGAGCAGAACACCAAACGTGAATCACAGTCACAAAGACTCCAGATCCCAGGGAGCATATTGTTCACTGACGACATGATCTTACCTGCACGTTCACCACATCGGTATGAGTCTTCATAGCCTGCAGGGCAGCCAAGGCACCTCCATTCTCCATGATGGCCGTGCAGTTGTTGGGTTTACGTAGAGCAAGGACAGAGAGGCATGCACAAGCCTGCTCGCACACCTATGGCAGAAAGTGAGCACAATCTTAGAACATCTTAGAGGATTCTTTCAGTCAGTGTATCCCTCATTTGTGTGTTTGTTTGTTTCAATGCACAGAGACCAATTTAGCATGATTTAACATGTAGGTACAACAGTGACACTCACAGCAGAGTTGCTCATGTGCCTGTTCATGGCGATGACAATGAGCTGAACTCCACCGGCATTAACAACAGCGTCTTTCACGTCATCATTTCCTGCTATGGCTCGGATCGCGCTAAGAACCTGCCGAACCAGCTCCTGCGGGAAGACAAACACTTCAGCGAAAAAAAACAAACCTGGACTCTATCCTCATCACGATCTTTGCTTCTTGTACGTTACCGCTGACTCATAGCTGTCTGCGAGCAAAGTCATCATGAGTTTTAATCCACCCATATCACAGATGTCTTGACAGAACTCATTCCGTACAGCCAGACGGGATAAAGTCGCACACAGCTCACTCAAAACAGAAGTGTTGCCAAGGTGAGCTGCATGGAAGATATCCAAGAAATCAAAATTATTTAAGTGTACCAGCAAATACAAAGCGACTAGAAAGCGCAGAAGCTAAATCTATATTGATATGATCAGCTGGCCTTACCTTTGGCAGCCTCAATCAACACCTTCAGTCCGCTGTGTTCAAGAACAATACTCTTGGCGTGTTCATGAGCGTGCCCAAACGTAACCCGCACGTCATCATCAAAGGTCATGACTCGGAGAGTTGCGCAGGCCTCCTTAACCATCTCCGCACATTCACCGTGCTGTGTGATGGCAACAGTGAGCAGCGGCAGGACGCCGCCTTTAACAAAATCCTGCCTGTTCTGTTCGTGCTTTAAACAGCAGTGCCGCACGGCACTGATGGCGACCCGTGTAACAGAAGACTCTGCCTGGTACTTCTTAAGGACATCCAATAGGAACTGCCGGCCCTCTGCATCCAGCAAGTCTGGCTGTCCATCCGTCAGCGCGGCCAGAGCAGACAGCGCAGCTAATGCTGCTCCCTGCTCCTCCGTGCTCTTTTTGCAGTAGGACAGGATGACGGGGTAGGCGTCTTTCTGGGCAGCGAGGTACCGCTGGGCGAATCCCAGTGAGCACTGCTCAGTGAAGTTTTTTAGGTCTGCTGTCACACCAGCAGAGTCTCTTCCAATTCGGAGGGACTCCAACGCCTGAAATGATTAAAAAAAAACATTTTTAATATAGATAAAACTTTGGAATAAGCATTCTCTTTTCAGTAAAACAGATCAAGACTCACCTGTAGGACCTCGTGTGTCTGCTCTTCTTGACTGTCAGCCGATGATAATGTTGGGACAGCTTTCACTATGCAACTGAGGTCCACACCTGCATGAACACATACGATTAGATTTAATGCTGACTCACAGCACAACATGAAGTTCACAAAAAAAAGCTCCAAAGGGCAACATAACTTCTTTTTTGACCATTTTAACATCTCAGAAGTGGCAGTAACAACAAAAAAAAGCTATTGTAATTATCAGAGTGTCAGTGCACTCTCTTCTTCATATTTAACGGGCCTGGAGCCTTTCACAGGTCTCGCTGGGCGAGAAGTGGTCTAACCTTATGTGTTAATTGTTATTCAAGACAGAGGCTTCAAGCTGATTAAAGTAAGGACAAGGAATAAATTACTTTTTAGTACTTATTGCTTTCCCAACATTCCCAAAATGTCTTTACTGTAGCTTCTGTTAGAAGCAGCAAACCTCAGCCACGGGATCTATATATGAAGATTTGTTTGTAAAAAAAAAAGAAAAAGAAAAGAAGCTTTGTATCAGTGCTTTGTGCACATTTGATTGAGAAATAAGTGAATTCATAAAGTTAATCTGTCATTATCTTTAAAAAAATAAGGAAAGTTAAACTCTGTGTGTGCTCCAACTTCCTCCCACAGTCCAAAGGCGTGGAGTTAGTGGGGTTGGATTAATTGGTGATTCTAAATGTGTCATATGTGTTAATGTGAGGATGAATAGTTGTCTCTCTCTCTGTGTTACTCCTGAAACAGACTGGCGACCTGTCCAGCGTGTACCCTACCTCCCGCACTATGGTAAGCTGGGATAGGTTCCAGCCCAGGGGGACAGATAGATGGATGGAGCAACGGACAGATAGATGGCAGAAGCAAATGGAGAGGGTCACTGTGGGGACAGGAGGGACAGCAGCAGTAAATGTAAATTATAGCTGATTAAAGTCTGAAGAGAAAAGAAGCCAACTGATCCAGTTATGAAGAGTTTGCTACTTTATTGAGGATTGTGGCAGTGGGATATAGTTTGTAGCTTGGCTGTAAGAGGGAAAGGGATGGGATGGTTGAATGCATGGCACACTTGCATTTGCTAAATACTCTCTTTCCCTACATGGTAAGTGCAGGGGTGCTAGAGGACGAGAGAACAGAGCAAAGCACAGAAACAATAATGCTCTGAATCTGGGCAGCTGGTTGAGCGAACGTTTTTCTTTTGTGCTTGATAATAAAGAAGTCTGTGTGTGTGCTCTGTGTGTCTGTGTACAGTTTTCCCTCTCTGTTACTGAGGAGAACCAGCTACAAAGACATATTCATGAGAATGAAACTTGAACAGACTGAAAAGGAAAAAGACAAAGGGATGTTGCTTCTTTTTTACAAGCACACAAATAAAGCAAGACCAGTTTAAGACTGCATACCTTTGCTGAAAAGCCCCTACACACCATGCATCAACTGGCTTCCTTTTCTGCCTTTCAG